TTCCTGGATTTTTCTGTTTACACGTCGTCACTTTAAGATGTTTTTTGTTCATGTTTTTGTTTGTTGCGGTTGCACCCGATTCAAGAGCCGAATGGCTCACAGGGCTATACCAAATAAATGAAACTGAAAACAACAGTAACAATAACAGCAGCAACAGCAATAATATAAGCAAGCACCGCAACAGGAACAAGAACAGCTACAACAATAACAGCAGTAGAAAAACAGAAGCACTGCATGCTTCATATTCAACAAACACGATCTTATCAAGGACGGTGAACTGGACATATTAGCCATTGCCAAAACCTGGGTATATGACTGATCGGATGTAATTAAGCATGAAGGTGCACCTAACGGATGTGAGATTGTTCATCAGCACCGTCGCGGGAAGCCTGGCACCGGCAGCACGCATGGTGGTGGAATCGGAACGATTCACCGTGGAGACATCTGCGTGAATGTCTTGAGCGGCTCATCAACGATCACTGTAATTCCGAGCTGCTGCTCGTGAAAATAACGAACAGCATGGGAGGGGATTTAAACAAAAATGCAATGTAAAAAAAAATTAAGGTACAAAAAACTTAATATAATAATCATGGACATACTCTGTGGTTCTTTCACCAACGTGACTTTACCAAAAGAACCAAAGAGTCTGTATCATTGCAGTCACGAAAACTTCAAATCTAGAATCATGAATATGCTTCAAAGGTAAAAAGAAAACGCCAATTTTAAAAACAGACCGGGGACCAAATAGAATGACACAGCCCCAGCGGGCAGCGAGCTGACAGCAATGTCCAACAGTTAACGCGGAGACTCATGATCACTAAATACATCATCAGAAAACTGGAGTGACACATTCGCAAAAGGCATCCCTACGACTTTGGAAATCAGCAATTTACTGAAAGTTCATCTCTGGCTGGATGACGCCTACAGCTGTACATGTGTAGTGTTGTGGATTCAGGAGACGTCGGAGATGATTCTTGGAGGCAACACTATTTATTAAAACACCTCGCTCGGCAGTACAGTCCCAGGACACTCAGGGTTACTGTCCTCTTACACCACTGTCTGGGGAGGTACTGCCTCCGGGCTAACGTGCCCTAACACAGGACTACAGTCAGGGTCCTCCGGCTATGGGTGCCTAGGGGGAGGCTATTCTAACTCGCCCTAGCCAGGGTGCGAGTTCCGACCACTGACCCACTGGACCCGGCCCTTACAAGGACGTCGGGCCAGAGGTTCCCAGGGTCTCACCACTGAGCCGCACAGAGTCCCAGCCCTGATAAGGACAGCGGGGCTAGGGGGTCTCAGGGTCCTAGCTGGTCTTCGGCTTCGGTCTTCAACTGGTCCAGATCGGCTAGGAAGGTCCCCTTTTATGCCCCTTGCCCATTGAGGGGTGGGGCTGCGTGGGATCCCAGAACCCCCGCAGCCCCCCCCCCCTCCCCGTTGGGGGCGCCGAGGGGCTTAGCTGTCTGGGGTCCTGAGCCCCCAGCAGCCCCTCCCCTCTTGGGCTGGCACTGCAGCCCCTCCCGTGACGGTACGAGGTACCGTTCCATCTACGGCGCTACACATGCATTATTGCAGTGAGAAAATCCTGTAAGGTGACGCGCAATGGAGACTCTCCTGGTTACAGATCTTCTCAGACTCCACTTCACATGTGCAGGGGCCCTCCTATTCTGCGTTGTCCAAGAATTCCAAGACTTAACATGTTGAGTCAAAATTTTGATTTAAAGCTTTCGTGACTGCAGTAATTCATATTCTTAGTTTTTTCGGTAAAGTCACGTTGAAGAGAAACAACAAAATAACAAAATATATATAAAACAATAAAAAATTATCACGACATTTCGACCATAACTGATGATGACCGTTTGAGTTATGGTCGAAACGTCGTGAGAATTTTTTATTGTTTTATATATATTTTGTTATTTTGTTGTTTCTCTTCAACTTGACTTTACCGAAAAAACTAAGAATATGTTGAGTCAAGTTCTATTAGTGAGCCACCTATGAAGGCCTGCATGTACAGTGAGGGAAAAAAAGTATTTGATCCCCTGCTGATTTTGTACGTTTGCCCACTGACAAATAAATGATCAGTCTATAATTTTAATGGTAGGTTTATTTGAACAGTGAGAGACAGAATAACCACAATATCCAGAAAAACGCATGTCAAAAATGTTATAAATTGATTTGCATTTTAATGAGGGAAATAAGTATTTGACCCCTCTGCAAAACATGACTTAGTACTTGCTGGCAAAACTCTTGTTGGCAATCACAGAGGTCAGACGTTTCTTGTGGTTGGCCACCAGATTTGCACACATCTCAGGAGGGATTTTGTCCCACTCCTCTTTGCAGATCTTCTCCAAGTCATTAAGGTTTCGAGGCTGACGTTTGGCAACTCGAACCTTCAGCTCCCTCCACAGATTTTCTATGGGATTAAGGTCTGGAGACTGGGTAGGCCACTCCAGGACCTTAATGTGCTTCATCTTGAGCCACTCCTTTGTTGCCTTGGCCGTGTGTTTTGGGTCATTGTCATGCTGGAATACCCATCCACGACCCATTTTCAATGCCCTGGCTGAGGGAAGGAGGTTCTCACCTAAAATCGGATGGTACATGGCCCCGTCCATCGTCCCTTTGATGCGGTGAAGTTGTCCTGTCCCCTTAGCAGAAAAACACCCCCAAAGCATAATGTTTCAACCTCCATGTTTGACGGTGGGAATGGTGTTCTTGAGGTCATAGGCAGCATTCCCCCTCCTCCAAACATGGCGAGTTGAGTTGATGCCAAAGAGCTCCATTTTGGTCTCATCTGACCACAACACTTTCACCCAGTTGTCCTCTGAATCATTCAGATGTTCATTGGCAAACATCAGAAGGGCATGTATATGTGCTTTCTTGAGCAGGGGGACCTTGCGGGCGCTGCAGGATTTCAGTCCTTCACGGCGTAGTGTGTTACCAATTGTTTTCTTGGTGACTATGGTCCCAGCTGCCTTGAGATCATTGACAAGATCCTCCCGTGTAGTTCTGGGCTGATTCCTCACCGTTCTCATGATCATTACAACTCCACGAGGTGAGATCTTGCATGGAGCCCCAGGCCGAGGGAGATTGACAGTTCTTTTGTGTTTCTTCCATTTGCGAATAATCGCACCAACTGTTGTCACCTTCTCACCAAGCTGCTTGGCAATGGTCTTGTAGCCCATTCCAGCCTTGTGTAGGTCTACAATCTTGTCCCTGACATCCTTTGAGAGCTTTTTGGTCTTTATGATTGAGAGGGGGCCAAATACTTATTTCCCTCATTAAAAAGCAAATCAATTTATAACATTTTTGACATGCGTTTTTCTAGATTTTGTTGTTATTCTGTCTCTCACTGTTCAAATAAACCTACCATTAAAATTATAGACTGATCATTTCTTCGTCAGTGGGCAAACGTACAAAATCAGCAGGGGATCAAATCTTTTTTTCCCTCACTGTACACGATAGGTGGGTAGCCAGCGCCATGCTTGACCGCCTATATCTCCCGAGTAGCGATGTTTACACATCGCACCAGGTACACTAATTTGAGGCTGAATCGACCTAGGGGCAGCCCAGAACAGGTTGACATAATCGCCACTGGTGCTGGCCGTGAGCGGGAATCGAACTCAGGTTTCAAGATTTATAGCGCAGTGCACTGACTACACCACTCTGTGACGGTAAGTACCTATTTTGGCATCAATGATACTAAAGGAGTCCACCAAGGTGGAGTATAGCTTAAATGTGTTAGCCCATACGTATGTATACTCTTTGGTTCTAATCGGTAAAGTCACGTAGGTAAAAAATAATAGAATAGAACCAAAGAGTATGGATCCTTGCAGTCACGAAAGCTTTAAATCTAGAATTCATACGTATGTATGTTGAACTTATTTTGGACCATACGTAGCCATAATAGAGGATTTTTTGGGTTAGATTGCGTAAATATGTCGTTAAAACCCGCCACCACCCGACACAGCCATATAGTAAGGGTTGTCACGTAAACAGAACATGCCAATTCGTCACTAGTACAGCACCACCGGTGTGTTAAAGAGCCAAGCCACAACATTTACAATTTGAGTACGACATTTCGCCAGTAATTACAACTAGTTTCATCAGGCAACAATATTTTACACGTGGTGATCAAACGACTTTCCAGTTGAGTATGGTGACGAGGCTCTTGAGAGGAGTAGAAAGCTGAATCCTCGAGTCCACGATCGCCACACCCGATCCTCCCACTCATGCTTTCGACTGACCCCAAGTGTCAACCAGCAGAACCTCCGTTGTTTCTGGATTAAGACGAATTTTGTTTCGTCCAAACCACACGTGCACCGTTCACGTGCCAATCTTCGAGGTTACCGAGGCTCTCCATATCAAACAAGGGAGGCAAGGCAGCACAAACCAGGGCCGAGACAGATTTAGGGGTTTGAGCGATTTATTTTGGCTCTTACCAAGTTAGGGGAGGTGTGGTTGTTGCAACCAATGCCACACCCCCAGAACAAATACAGGGAATATAATAAAAACCCGCACACGCCTCGCCCCTACACAAACCCGTCCCGCGCATGCACCCACCACAGTGAACACTTGGCACAACAACAGTGTGCACCTGTCACAGCATAGCACACTGCTAGCACCTCCGATTAGCACGAGTGACTCCGGTGTGAAATAATATTATTGGTTCTTTCGGTAAAGTCACGTAGAAGGAAAATAATAAAATACAAATAAAACAATGAAATTCTCACGACGTTTCGATTGCAACACAAGCAATCATCATCAGGTGTGAAAACCACAGCAAGAAAATTTAAAAAAAGTGGCGTTTTTTTCTTAACATTAGCACCACGGACAGCAACTGGTGGTTGGTCAGACGGATGAGTCCATCTATGCTCGGAACGGAGGAGGGGGGAGCTAGAAAGAGAATGGAATGCGGTCTGAAAGTCACTGTGAGCGTGAACACAATCAATTAAGACCCGAAATGGTTAATCAAATCCTTCCAATGATTGCTAAGTCAGAATCCATCTTCTCGGTTGAAATTGTCTCTGTGTTTGTATATGTGGATAGCCTCATGAACGAATCTTTCATGGTAGCCAGATGGCTTGCAAATAAGTTCAACATACATTCACTGCTACACCACACACGCAGCTATGTCCTGCTGCACTCAGCCACTGCACTTCTGCACACATAGCTACTCATCTGCACCGTAGCGAGATGCCATTTGACAGGCCTCAGAAGGTCAACAGGTTCAGGTTGGTAGAGAGTCAAATGGAGAGTCAGGCTGGCCTTCAAGTCCCTGCAACTCACAGTCTAAGGGCAGCTCTTTCAGTATGCTGTCCAGAACCAGACTGCTGCACACCACATGAGACAGGCACAAAGCCACATTCCATATAAGGTATCTATGTGCAGGGTATTGAGAATATTTGTCGTATATGAATACATTCTGTACTCTCCGCTGGGAAATCCTCCCTTGTTCACTGCTTCTGCTGCTGCTGCGGCTGCCGCTGGTGCTGCAGATTTCCAGGTGCTGCTGCTGGTGCTGCTGCTTCTGGTGCTGCTTCTGGTGCTGCTGCTGGTGCTGCTCCTGCTTGGTGGTACTCAACTGAGCTGCCTTTAACAGTTGGTGCCCCACGTCTTTGTCTTGGCCAGGACTGGTTTCAAATCTCAAATTTCTGCTTGTGGCTCTGGAGCAGAATCCACTCCCCTTCCCATGTTTCACTGCACTGTACACCACCGACTCGTATACATCCATTTTACTCGCAACACACCGCTCCCCCAAAAATTCCACCCACACCTCCATATCGACAAACTCCTGGGGGTCGCCTCGCTCTCCCTCAGTCCGAATGCTCCTCCTGGTTCACGCTGCCTCCATCCACCTGGAGGTCAGGTTCTGGAGTCAAATATAAATCTTCACATTTCACCTTCACATTTCACCTTTACTTCACATTTCACCTTCACTTCTTCACAATCCACCTTCACGTCTTCACATTCCACCTTCACTTCTTCACATTCCACTTTCACTGCTCGCCATGTTGCTAAGCTGGGGTTGTCTTCCGGTCCTTGTTCCATGCGAGATGGGCTCAATGCAGCACTTTGATTTTCACTTCTCGTTTCCACCTCCGTCTCCTTGTGGATCTTCTCATGCCTCTTTCGGGCTTCTGACCGTGCAAATGCCTTCCCACACAAAGCACACTTGAAGGGCTTCTCGCCTGTGTGTGTTCTCTGATGATTACGAAGATAAGATGACTGGCTAAATGCTTTCCCACACACAGTGCACATAAAGGGCTTCTCGCCTGAGTGTGTTCTCTGATGTTTATAAAAATGTCCTGACTCTGCAAATGCCTTTCCACACAGGGTGCACTTAAAGGGCTTCTCGCCTGTGTGTGTTCTCTGATGGACATTAAGAGATGCTGACTGTTTAAAAGCTTTACCACACACAATGCATTTGAAGGGCTTTTCACCAGTGTGTGTTCTCTGGTGCATTTGAAGATGTGATAACTGTCTAAATGCCTTCTCACACACAGTGCACTTGAAGGGTGTCTCGCCTGAGTGTGTTCTATAGTGAATTTGAAGTTGTGTTGACTTTCCAAATGCCTTCCCACACACAGTGCACTTGAAGGGCTTCTTGGCTGTGTGTGATTTCTGGTGCAGATGCATGTGTCCAGTCTGGTCCATGCCATATGGACACTGGTCGCATTGGTGTGTTCTAGCACCGGGCGGCGTCTTGGGTCTCTGCTCCATCTCACTGATTCTGCAGATACACATCACACACAATATATGCACTCTTTAAAAACTGAAATGCAGTATACCCAGAAGATAAACACACACACATTACACCCAGCAAATATACACACACATTACACGCTCACACGTAATCCACCCAACAAATATAGAAAGATTAAACACACACATGCAGTCCACCCAGCAAACATACACACACATTACATGCAATATGCACCTCCGATTAGCATGGTTGACTACATACGGTGTGAAAGAAGTTCAAAATACATACAATATACACATACATTACACACTCACATGCAGTACACCCAGTAGATATATACAGTGTTCCCTCGATAGTCACGAACTTGCGATTTTGGCTATCTGTGAATTACATCTGGAACGCTACAAAACTGCATCGAGTGAGCGAGACAGAAAGTGATGAGATTAAGTGAGAGAGACTGCGCAGCATCATCATAATTTAAGTTCAGTAACTATTATGAAATGCTTTAAAATTAATTTAAATTTACTTTGTTTATTATAACCACATTTTCTCGTGTTATTTTGATAATTAGAAGATGTTGGGGCCTATGGGCCCTCATCTCCTAGGTCCTGCAGAGGCTTAGGTGCCTTTGGGCTTCAATTGTAACCTATGAAGGCTAAGATAAGGTAAGTATATGGTAAATTGTATAAGACAATACCTAAAGGAGGAAGATTCCAATTTTCTGCAGTGTTTATCTTTGGCTCTTGTTGGCGGTGACTTCAAAAGCATGATGAATTGGAAATGGTCTTGTGTCATTGAGAATGGAAATCTCTTTTCAGCTGGAGCCAGAGGAATGAGGGACAAGAGCTTCTCCTTAAAGTGGGGTCCACTTACAACAAAGGCTTTAATTATGCAATTGTTCATTGTCAAGATGATATAGCGTGTTCCATTGCAGTGTCTAAATTCCGAAGGAGCATAATGCGGAAGCCAACCTTCAGTTTGAGCAAGTGTGGTAAAAATCCAGAATGGTTGATGAATTCAATAGGATAGATTATTTCATTATCCACTGTATCTGAGCTTTTGTAGACTGTTTTCTTCATCAGAAAAATGATTCAGCATCATTGAATTGATCAAATCAACACTCTTTTCTAGGAGAACTGATGGCATGGTTTGCACCCCATATGGCCTCCTTTAAGTTATCCCTCAGGCCATCATAGACATAATAACAAAGATTGCAAAGGTTTTCAGATGAAAGTCGGTATTCATTTGGAATTTGAGTTTTTAAATGGACAAGTAATATATAGAAAGGTACCTTTCCATTTCCACATCCATTAAACATGTGGCGAACTTGGCTTAAATCAAAATTTTCTGCAGCTTTGGCAAAACACATTTTGGTTTGAAGTCTCAGTTCCACTACATGTAACCAAAGCACTGATTAATTCAACATTGCTTCAACTATTTGAGGTCTCCCTTCATGAAAAAAAAACACATGCAAGATTTGCTTTTAATTTCCGGCCGAAAGGATTGTAAGACCTCCAAAAGGCATGTTTTTTTTCAAGGCATTAAAAGATAAAGTGATGGCCCATACTGATTTCAACTATAACCAAGAGATTAGCTTTTTGCATCAAGTGACCCATAGCATTTCTTCTGGTGAAGTGACAAGTGGACTCTATGGTTTAATATCCAGAGATATCTTGAATGAAGAGTTTGGCCATTTTCCAAGTGAGTGCTTGCTATTCATGACATGGCAGAAACAATTGCAATTTTTCCCTCGCATCGCACTTTGTCAAGCATAAGGTTAATAGCCTATGTTTTTTTTCCCTGTGCCACCACTTGCATTGAGGCCAAATGCTTCGCCTTTTTCTGACACAATGGATTTCTATGATGTGGTCATCAACATATATTTGTTCGGGATTGAGAGCGGGCAACTTTCTTTTAATCTTGGCCTCAAGTTCAACTTGATCAAAATTCGTTTCTTCTAAGACTCTTAGTACTTGAGCTTTGCTGTAGGATGTTTGCATCAGGTATAGGCAAAACGTTTTCATGACAATCAATTCCTTATCGCTCCACTCTTTTTGAAGATTGAGGGCCACCATATGTTTAACAAGTGGAGTGCATTTGTTAGTTTTGTTGTCGTTCATCAAGTCTTTACCCAGTTCATACTTCCATTTGTTCCAGAAGACCAATGGTTCAGCCGGAGTACAGTCGAGGATAGTGATGAAAAACATCACGTAGTGGAGGCCCACATCTGATGGCATTGGCTTCTTCTATTACTCAATCCGTTTAATTATCATGCTCAGTAAGTCTAACAGTCTGCTTGAAAGGTTTCACACTGTCCACCATCAATTGTGCACAAGTCTTCATAAGGAGTTGCCCCATTTTGCGATGAAGAAGCATGCAAAAATAGTACAGATCAGACTGCCGTCGACTTAATGAGATGGAAACCCTGTCGTAAATCAGATCATACATTTTTTCGGACCCTATTTTCTATAGACGCTATTATACATACCTGAACACGGGCTAGACACTAATTTTTGTTCGTAAAAATGCTAGAAATACGGTATTTAGTTAAATATATGACGTTTATACCATTCTTAATACTATAACATTTTATAAAACAGTCCACTCGTGATATAAAATGATAGCTCAAGAGTGATAAGTGTACAGTGCTGTACTGAACGTGAAATATTTACTGAAATTGCCATAAATCAAACAGTTTTATATTTTATTATCTTGTCTTCTTCCTCTGCATACGTGACTTGAACTTTCATCCGAAAAAAACTCAACGACTTTCTACGTTGCACAGTAGAAACATCACTGGTCAAATGTGTTGAGTCATGTTGGAAGATACATCGAAAATTAAGATTGTGTTGTAAATCGATCAATGGTGGCAATATACTATATACAGTAAGTACCTGGGTTACGGAAGACCCGACTGTGAAAAGCCGACCTTACGGAAAAGCTCCAATGAATCATGTAAAAAAATCAATACAGCGATACCTTGACTTTCGTCCACTTGACTTTTGTCACTTCGCTCTTTCGGCCATTTTCAATTATAATATTTAAAATTTCGTCCACGTGCTTTCCTCTTTCATCCGATTTCATCCAACCTTCCACGACGTTCGTGCCACGCGCCATCTTTTTCGTTCAGTCTTTGAAAAGAAGTCGTTCAGTGAGCATCTCTCATATTTGCGTTTATTCATATGTAGTGACATAAATTATGTCACTAGGGTGTTCGCGCCAGCTACTTTTACAGGAGTGCAACTGTGCGTCTGGAGCCTCTCTCTAGCACCAGAGTAAGTACGACATTTCAGCCAGCCCTAGGGGGCATAGTCCTGGTGATGGCCTGAGAGAGGGCAAGTGAGGACGTGGTAGCCTGAGTGAACCGCGAGAGGCCACGTCACCAAGACAGGGTAGTGAGGGGGGCCCGAAGGGGGGCTTGAGGGGCACGTGATGCTCGGTCGAGATCCTTCGGGAAAGGTCTCGAAGGGGGCGTGGCCGAAGGCGGAGCGAGGCCACACTCAGGAGCATAAAGGGGCAGTCTCGAGAGAGTTCTTGGCTCGTCTGTGTAATCAAACCTGGGTCCCGCGTTTCGTCGGTCTCCGGTTGTCTTCACGCTCGGCGTCGTGGGTAAGGCAGGCGTCGCTGGCCTGGCCCGGTTATCTAGTTACCCCGGTAAGGGAATAATGTGAACGTTTATGTAGTTTGCCTGTTGGGTCGTTAAATAAAACGTGGTGCCTCCGTGAACACCACTACACATATATTATTAATACTGTACTTATTTCTGTGATTATACTGTAAATAATTCATAGTTAAGTAGTGACATTGAATGGGTCAATATGGTGCATAGCGCCGGTTGCTGGCAGAGAAGGGGATCTGCGGTTATAGCAGTCATGTCTGCCAGCAGATCACATGATAAGCCAGAGAGAGGGATGTAGGGCAAAGGTGATAGAGGGGGCACGTGATGCAAATCCCAGGAACCTTCTAGTAGGTTCTAGAAGAGGGGGAGGGGGGGGGGGGGTGGCCGAAGGCGGAGCGAAGCCACGCTTGGAGGATAAAAGGGGCCCTCGAGCGAAGGTTCGGGGCTGTTGTTTGGAGTAGATCCCGTCATGCTGCTGGAGTCTTCGTCACCGTCTTCACCTCCTCGGCGATGTCAGTCAGGCAGCCTGTCAGCTGTCCTGACTGAAGTGTACCCTGTGAAGGCTATAATAAATAGAGTGCCTCCTACTATTATTGTCTCTGAGTTTATCACCATAGTTATTTTTGTGATAACAGTATAATACTACATTGTTTACTTACGCAAGAATACAAATATTTAAAGGTATAATTTAGTTTATTTTTTTGGTTTATTTAGTTTTGTTTATGTATTCTTACGTTCATTTTTCTTTTATTTCTGATTATTTATGTTTCGCATGCATGTGTTAAATAGTCACTGCAGTTATATAATAATAGGGTTTTTCCCCTTTTTTCTGGCAACAAAACTGAAACATTTTTACAAGGATTCATGTCTGCATTAACTACAATACCTGCAGTCAAAATGCAAACAAAAAACGCCTTTTGGCATCCTCTGGTCGAGCACCAATTGGGTCGAGGCTTAAAAGCAAGCCGTCCCTTGGTGTGGACCACTCAGTTTCAAGGACAATGCATCATATATTATCATAGTATGTTTTTTGTTTGCATTTTGACTGCAGGTATTGTGGTTAATGCAGACATGAATCCTTGTAAAAAGGGTTCAGTTTTTTTGCCAGAAAAAACGGGAAAAACCCTATTATTACATTTTGGTACTGGAAAAGGAGGTCTAATGATGAAGTCACTGTAGTTATTTGCACGTACGTTTTATATTTACTCTAGTTATTAAATTTGCAAGCTAAATAAAGGCTCTGCTTTGACATTCGTCCATTTTTTACATTCGTCCACGCTCTGGTCCCTAACCAGGCGAAAGTGCAAGGTATTCCTGCATGCAGAAATGTTTGTGTTAGTTACGTAACCGCAAGCGGTTCAGCACAGTGAGGTTGTGGATGAATACCATGGAGTGAGGCGTAAGGCAT